ACGTTTGTGGAGAAGTATATAAAGGCACGCACACATGCTCACACGCTTATACAACAAAAGGAGATAAAGAGATAGTTCATACAAAGGTTAAGAAGGTTACAATAATACGGTATGCGATGAAACGGACAGTAAGAAAAAAATACTTAGGTTAGGTGAACAATGGATGGATACACAAATATTTTGAATTATTTGTTCAATTTTAGGATTTTTTTATTGAATCCATTATCTTAGAAGCAGTTCATCATTAACTGAAGAGTCCTTGAGAAGTAAGATGAATTAGACAGGTGTATTTTTAAAAAGCGATTCATTTCGATTAGTTTATGACTATTAACAAATAAACTGTTATGTTTCTATCATGTTTTTCTATTTGTAAATACTTAAAGCTGATTTATACTAACATAAATGTTAGATTTTAAGATTTGTTCACACTGAAAACTAATTTCATCATAAGCTAACAATAATTTAAAGAAATACTTAAAACTAAAGATCTTTCGAATGTACCATACAACTTTGCATATCCCCCCACATTACGGATCGAATCCAGGAATTTTATTCATACAATTATCTTCTTTTAAGCTGAAGGATTTAGGCTGTGGAACCAATTATTACAACAAACTCACCAACCTCCATGAAACTAGCTACAGTAATAGACTACATTTATACATTCACGGATTTCTAATTGCTATTATTATTATATTAAAATTCACTAGTCCAAGAAACCCGTATCTGGTTACCTACTATAGATTACATTTTTTAACATTTTAAAGATGTTCATGATAAGTTAGTTGTAATTTTATGTTTTTCTACTGTCAATACCAGGTATACTTTAGGGGTTAATATTAAGAAAGGTCAAAATTTAAAAACTATTTATTTCTTATAGAAATAAACTGATTGAAATTAAGAATAAATGAAACCCAGTGAATTAAATGATCACAAGGTCTCTAGAGTACTTGACCCAGTTTTAAATGAGAACCAACAGACACGTATTTTTGATAAACTCTAGAATACAACAAGTGTTCAACACTGTCCGAATTTTATCATGATTTTAAATGAGAATCCATGGATCTCTTGTATGATCGATGAAAAATTTCAAATCCACTTTAACAAGTATAAATATTCAGCAACTTAGAAACTAAATAACAGCTGTGTCAGTCCATTGTAAAGTATCTAATATGAGAAGATATTGAACTCTTTGAGATGGAACATAGAACTTCAGTGTATATATTTTTAAGGTGAGCATAGTTGACAGAAAACAATAAGGCAGGCCCTTGTAGAATGCCTAAACCAGTACACAAGTTAAATAATCTTATTTGAAACAAGACCAAAAAGCGTGACACTGGGTCACGGTTAAACAACAGGTGTAGAAATCTATCAAATGGACAACATATTACTGGGCTCTTAATATCACCATAGTTATTCACCAGTGAGGCCCCCGAATGTCCTGGTACGGTTGAGGGTGGGGAGAGTCAGCTCTCCCTCTCGAAATGCTCTTACGTGGCCACGTGCGTACAACCACTGCCAGGGAAGTCCTACTCACTGCCTTCTCACGGCATTACTGTTTTTTACGAAATTGAGAGAACGAAAAGCGAATGTCTGGCGATTTTACCGGGTTGTTGGACGCAGAAGGTCCACCTAAGAAAGCTGGTAAACCGTGATTCCAAACAAACGGTGAACATGGTCTTCGGTATCCTGAAGGGACAAATGATGTATGAACCTATTGCTGGTCACCGGCTACCATGGGATTGCATCTCCTTACGTTGCTCCGTTGCCTTGTGGACCAGACCTATGTGTCAAAGGTTCGGGGTGTGGCCTTCTAAGAAGACAACCTGCTTCGGTTCGGGCATCTAGATAGTATTCCGGCCCTCATACGAACCGAGTGATTTGTATGGTACATATGTATTTGGTGCCTCCTTGTACCAATGACTGTGTGTTTAAATAAAATAGAATAGAGTATGTTATCGTATGGTTGAATGGAAAAATAGCTATTTCCGCAGCTTATTATTAAACTAGTCTGTCATATAGTAGTGATCTTTTACTATCCTTAAACATAATACATAAGGAAATCAAATATTCGACTATTTGTTTTATGCTTCAATATTCTTTTTTGTATGCTCACTAATTCACTGGCTCGCCCACTCACTCAGTCAATTATTCAGTCGTAAACACCGATGCATTCACTCATACAAACACCAGAAACAATAAACTTTATCTCCCTAGGGAAAATTTCCAACTTGCACATAATAAATGTTTTTACGCCATCTGGATATTGAAATAAACCTAACTAACAATACGAAAATCAAAATAAACAAGAAATGAACTAATATCGGAAACAACCAGCGTAACCAATGACTGGCCATCAACAACAAGCACATCTACAGTAAATGAAGCTGAAGTACGCGAATAAAAAACGAATAGAACACAATGTCGAATAATAATTCTACTAATGAAGTGAGTGTGTGTGTGAGAGAGAGAGAGAATATATGGCTGGTTGGATATTATTAAAAATGAGCTTGTGGATGACTATACACACATATATACATAAGTATAAACCTCCGTATAAACATATTAGTATTCGTTATTTCATAATATATTATTTGGAGATTACATTCACTTGAATGATTAGTTGGACAGAATCAACTAGAAGAAAAATTCACACGGAAAATCAATTACTTTTCAAGATAGTATTCTTTTTTAATCAAGTTAATTGAAAAGCATGAACATTTATTCCGATTCTAGTATAATCTCATATAACAGACTTCATATGATATTGTAATTAGTAATATCTGTAAATTTCATTAGGGAATAAGTTTTTCTTTTCAAAAACAAAAAAAAAATGTTCCACATTGAAACGAATTCAATCAGTTAATCAGTAAGCTACTCAATCATAAATAAAATAAGATCTACAGTACATTATATAGATATGTATCAGTTCAAATTGTACATCGTTTAAATTATTAGACGAAAATAAAATGAATAAAAAACTAATGAAAAGAAAAGAAAATTGAAGCAGAAATAATAATAATAATAATAATAATAATAAATGCATAAAAGAAACCGAATGTCGATAATATCACTTGAAAGAAAGAAATAAACAATTGAGGCATAAAGTATATAAAAAATTAAATAAAAACTTGAAATCTTAAGGAAAATAGAAATTGTGAATACACATACATGTATGTCTGTGTAATAGATTATAGATCATACTTGTCGTGTGGACCAACTTTCGTATATATAATTTGCCTTAATGGTTAGTTATTTCATGATACAATCTCCGCTTAGTTGGTTGGAGGCAATCGGCAGGAAGCTGTGTATTGACATGGATATTATGGTAGTTGACAAGTGTCAGAAAGGCATACCTACAATTCTGAGGTGGCAAGGGTTTGAATTCCATGGGGAACACCAGTCAAATCAAAATCGCAGGTATGCCTTATTGACCAGTGATAAATAGCTCAAAATCTAGGTTGATGCAGGGTTTCCTGTCGACCACCTCAAACCACCAAACCTGTGAACATTATATATGCGATGTTGAGTCACTCAGACAAGTGGTTACATTGCAATCTGATAGATGGAATTCTATCAGAGCTAAAAGACAGAAAAAAAAACAAAATTGATCACTCACTACTCAATGATCAATCAACTGTGACGGATGTGGTGTTTTAACCCGATTATATTTAGTCCTCCTCAGGGATGTGTAACACATGTTTCAATTAATTTAGTCAACAAAAGTTTACAGTCATACTCCTAATAGTACTATGATTACTTTATAGTTTCACTACCATACATCTGAAATGTAGTTCTTTCATTAAAAATAAAAGTTTTCTAAAACAGTCTTGAATAATGAACTGTATGATATATAGGTAATAGTCTGACTGAAGTACAAAAATAGCCAATTGTTAAAATTAAATATAGTGAGGGAATCAAGCAGGTACAGCAGCCACCGGTAGAATGGTTAAATGAATGAGACTGTGAACAGAAATTAATTATGAGGTGATAGCATGAATAAGATCACAAAAAATTAATGCCACAATCCTTAAGAAGCCTGAAAGTTCTATCGGTGATTCACAACTAACACGAAGTTGTAAACTGGAATGATACACAACCATATTCTGTTCTATTATATTCTCTCCAGGTATTTTCAATGGGCTTTTCTTGCGGTCGGTATCAATGGCTCTTAAGGTTTGTATTGTTCACTAAACGTTTCATAATCGGGACTTCTGGTTACTTTTCCGTCCATATAGTAGATGAGTACTGCATATCATGGTCGTCAAATAGAGAGATAGACTGAATTTGTATTTTTCATTCGGCATTTTGGCATGTGCTTTACTGATATGTTTATAACAGACAACTACAAATTACCTCAGACGCTTGAATTGGAATCTTTAGTAAAAGTCACACATTAATATGCAACATTCGCACACTGAATGAAGGAAAAATTTATAAATAAATCTGGATAACTTTTTCGATTGAGGTCATGAACCACTTGATGTTAGATTGCCATTGAAAACCTGGAAGCATTGGATGACCGTTTCGTCCTGTCTTGGGACTCCTCAACAGTGCGCATCCACGATCCCGCTCGCGGGATTAAAACTCAGGGCCTCCAGTCTCGCGCGCGAACGCTTAATCTACTAGACCACTGGGCCGGCATCCAACGGTGTTAATGTCTAACCTCAACCAATCCACGAAATCGAGCCACCATCTTCCACTGTACTGAGATAGATACCTGTCTTTACCCTGCACGGATTAGCTCCACTGGTCACGACTTATCACTAGAACTCCGAGAATTCCCTCACGAAGCTAGTCAGTAGTGAGCACATGATAGCGCATGGATAAAGCATGTTCGTTGTCCACTGAAAGAGTTACGGATAATATCTAACCGTGCATGAATATCAGTGAAGAATTAAGCATTTGGGAAATGTATGTTTATAGAAGGATAGAGAAATTGTATAATCTCTCTTAATCATTCGTTTAAAATTAAAATAAAACTTTTATTATATACTCACCATTTGTGTTGACATTCCCTGTTTTACTGCCTACAGCACATTCATGCTGTGCTGTTATTGAAGAGAAATCTAATGACAAAAATAGAAAGAAAAATCATCATTAGAATACGATAAGTTAGAGGGGGCAGGAGGAAAAATAAGTGATAATAAGAATTTTTCAGTAAATAAAAAATCTTTATACAAATCAATTATCATTGTAGTGTGATTGAAATATTGATGTTAGTAATGATAAACATTGTTAATGTTATGCTATACAGTCAAATTATATGTTACCATTTTTCAGATGAATAAAACTATATACTCTATTAGGTTAACAAATCAGATACCACAAATCAAAAGATGATTAAAACGATTAGTTGACTAAATTTCAGAAAATGAACCCTAAAATTTTAACTCAGTACCATTTTGATGAATTCAAAACTTGAGATGAAACAACTGTCCAATTTTTTCTTGTCAAGTTATTATCCATCCAGCTAACGGAAAGCAACTTCGAAGCGAAGAAATAGACAGATGGATATCTATCGCTTCAATTTTCTATATTTCACATAAGCATGGAAAAGACTGAAAAATCGGGGTGATAAATTTGCAATACCTGTGAGAATTAGAAACCGGACTAAAGTTTAGGAAATAGTTCACGAACTCTTTCCAGTCTCCTATTCATTTCATTTTGCTGAGCGATCGGGAGTGTTTCAGAAAGTTGGATTCACAACTGTTAATCTCAAGTTCAGATTCAACTATATCAACTTTATGTGAGGTGTTCTGACAGTAAAATTATTGCCTTTAATCCCCTCCTTTTGTACATACATAAAATAAGAATTATAGATTAATAAATAAACTAACATTACGCTACTGATTCACAGATTACGTAACACTAAGCCCTTAGTCCTAAACATGATTCATTTTAAGGGTTTTCTAATTACACTTCTACTATAGCTAGCATGGCCTTTCGGAGTTCATATCATCGTTAATTTATTGACTAGAAAGGTAGAATTTTTTTTATCTCAGATTCAAATATATACCAATACGTTATTTGAATAGTCTCGTATTAGATAACTTATTCAGCTATCAAATCAGTCAGTGTAAAAACAGTTCAATCATTTTTTTTCACAACTTGGATTATAACGTGTATAAAAATCATACTTTTCCTCGAGGACAATGATAACTCACAGTCACAACACAGTTGTCATCTGATATTCTTGCAGCTCAATTAGATGTATGGTACTGGGTGTATATGAAGTAATTGTTCAATTCAATCCGTTATGGATTATCATGTCAATTTATTTAGTTATATCAATAAAATTAAGATGTTAATTCTATAATTATCTTTTTTGTATTTATTATCTTCAATATATTATAAATCAAAGTACATGGTACATTTCTATTTCCGATCATATACAATACATAAACAAGGTAAATAATGATAAACAGTACTACTCATTTTTCTTAGAAAAAGGATAGGTATTTTTGGCAACACGGTTAGATTACAAAGTACACGTATGAACTAATCTAAATAAATAGGAGCATAGATTTAAATAAAATGATGTTCAAGGCTTCTTGTCAATTATTTCCAACCAATTATTGTTTTTTTTTAAAGAAAACAGAATATTGAATTGTGGATAAAACTTTGAAGCATTAAGGTTAACTATTTAATACTAATTTGAAACTTATCAGTAATCTGCATGTCCTCATGAGAATAAGATTTAATGTTCTGGTGAAAATTAAAAATTGATGGGGGGTTAGTCGACAATAATGGGAAAGCTACTACCGACAACATAGAACAATTATCGTGCTACAACATGAACTAGTTAAAATCGAAACTGTTAGCCATTGAATATGATGTATTCACTGGTCGAACGGTATCACGATTACCGTGAAACCTGAAGGTTCATTGTTCATTCTCTAGTAAGGTATTGAATACTAACTGTTAGAGAGTCTCACTCTAAAACAAAGCAGTTGTCTAGTCGTTCCTAGCTTGAACCGATTCTCCATCCTAACTTAGTCCTGACATTGAGTTAATCTTCATCACTAACCAATTAATTTACTATTCAACTTAAAAATTCTGGATGTATTTATTCAACATTGGTAACTATTTGTCATACTATGGATTGCATATTTCCTAGCAGAACTAGTTAAATGCATTATTATTTATTTTTAGAGATTATCATTGTTGCAATTATTGTATCATTATTAGTTCACATAAATAATGAATTTAACCATAATTCGATTTTACAAGATTTAAACAGTCTAGTTACATCACCAAATCTTATTGTTTAAAGACGAAACATATAGTCTACATAAATCTGTAAATAATTTATGAACTGTACATTTATCATTATTATTAGTGCATTACCATTCCAGTAAGATTGTGTTTTTTTAAAGTATGGTAGATGATTAGATTTCAAGTGTTTTTTTTTAGAAAACGTCAGTGTAAAATCGAAATCAGGTTGAACTTAATAAATCACTTAAGAGAAATTAATTTTATGTCATCTAAGATTTAGTTCCGAATGAATTTTTTCAGTTAAATTGAAACGTATGATTATTAGTCTAAATGACTCAACACCACTGTGGTGCATTTCTGGTGAAGTCGATCGGCAAAAGTTCATAATCTAGGTTTCGTAACAATTCTGATAAAGGACTTTATGGTAACGTCGATAACCAAGACACTAGGTTTGAATCTCATGAACGTTACATACGGATGATCAATCAATTCTCATAACAACCATCTATCAATATTTTATTAATTTTTAGAAAGATTTTGTGTAAACTTGAGAATAGTGATATTAATAACTACGACCTTGACACGTTAACATACAATTTTCTTTCCGAAAACTAAACAGAAAAATAATTTCAGATTCAATAGATTACAATAAGTATTATATTCTTTTTGTTAACAAAAATAAGAAATAGAATATGACCCTATTTAAAAATTAATGCATAGAAATGATGTGCTAAACAAACGAAATTATTATAACTTAAGTGAAAAAAAATTCCACATCACAGACCGATATAAGGATCGACAAGAATTATAAAACATCGGGTTAGCTATTTGATTTAAATCTGGGGCTCCTCGGGTGTGTATACACCACAAAGTGTTGGACCTAGGTCACCAAAACTTCAGATCCGATGAAAAATAGTACATCATCAGGTCTATTAAGTTAGAAGTTCTAAAGATAAGTTGTATCTTTGGAATCAACCAAGTCGAAAAAAGCAATCGTCCATCGATAACAATAGGTGATTGTCGTATCTTATTGCTAATTGATATGGTAGATCATATTTTTATTCAGTACAATAAAGAGCAAGGTGGTTTATTTATTAATTTTATGCTGATATTAATTGAAAAACTAGCGACTCTGGGATGAAATAAAGACCTGGTTTAGCCTCATTTTGAATAGTTCATCAATCCTACCCAAAACTCCATACAAAAAAATAAAACCCAATACTTTGAAATATCTTTGCAATCAATCATAACACGCAGTTAGCGAGTCGGAATCCAAAAATCTCATAAATTTTTATTCAACCTCAGTCAACTCATGATAAAACATAACTATATTGCACCATCATCGGTATGAGTCACCACTACTTCATTCTTGAATTGATCCTCTCAAGTCCAAATATGTCGACGAGATCTTCTAGAGAGGTTCGTTTCAAGAAGAAAAACGAAGAAACATTTTATAAACATCATAAAGATGTTTACAAGCAATTACCTATAACACGAACAGACATTTCAACGGAACTTCTTCCATAACCATGTACAGCGTGACATATATAACGATTAGAATCCTTCAATGTAGCTGATTTAATTGTGTAAAATTGTTCTTCTGATAATATTTGTGATGGTTGATCAACAAGACTCCACTGATAAAACACAGCATCACCAGGACATGTTAAGTTTAAACTTTGACCAACACGTATCAAATAACCCAAACGTGTCGGACTACGTGGTTGACGAGTATCTGATGCTGAATCTATGATTATTAAGAAAAGGGAAAAAATAAGAGAGAATATGAATAACGTAATACAAATTGAACTCTTAACGTTTAATTTAATTAGTTTTGAAATATATTATTATTATATTATTAAAAACAACATAATTGAGTGTTATGTATGCCCAACCACCACCTACCTCGACGAACGATAGTATCTGGAGAAGGAGTAATTTAGGAGAAATCGAGGGGTGGTTAGACGAAAACATGATATCAGTCCACGAAGTCACTAACTGTTGAGCTGGGCCATATTGGTAGATCCGGACAACTTGGTTGAGGTCCTCTTGACAACTAGAATTAGTAGTTAAAGACATTAGTCGACATGGCCCAGAATATTCCCTGAAACATACATTTCCATTTTATCCTCAAGCTTTGGCCTTTCTAATCATGGTTGCTGGTATCGATTCGCTTTCTATTTATATTTTTTAATTAATCTCACCATCAAGTGTGATTCGATTAGTGTTGGCTTTGTTGTATTTAAAAATTTTGTTTCTTCTCTTGCGAATGTCGAGGCTTACTGCTGTATAGACCTCTCTTATACTGACAGTCTTTGACTGCATTTATTGGTGTGTATTCGGTAGGAGGGCTAAGTAGTCTGCAAAGACTAAATCGTCCAGTTTTGTCCAAGATCTCCACTTTATCCCATGAATCTCTTGAGATTTGGTAGTTTTTGTAATCCAATCAGCAGCAAGCAAAAAGAGGAAAGACGATAATAGACAACCTTTTCTGAAACCTATTTTCACTTGGAAGGCATCCGTGAGCTGCTCTACATGCATAGCTTAGCAATGCAGTCATTCACAGGAGTCCTGTGTGATAGTGAATATCTTCTTAGGTACTACACATTGTATAAAAAGGTCCATAAGGTTTTCATATCTGGGTTGTCGGCGGGTGTTACGTATGAGGATGTATGTTTGCTGCTTCGATGTTCAGTAGGTTTATTGAGGCTGGTCTATTCAAGAGCTCTTCACACTGCTCTAATCACTCATTTCGCTGCTCTTGAACCTCAGTGATTGATTTGCCTTCTTTGTTCACGACTTGTCGCTCTGTTCCTACATGTTTCTTTGTGAGCTTTTTTGTATCATATAGTTCTTTCATACTTCTCTTGCAGCTTTTCCCACTGTCATTGCTAGGTCTTCTACCTATTTCCGCTCGTCGACTATGATTCTCTCCATTACTCATTTGTTTGACTTTTTATATTTGGACTGTGTCCTGACTTTTTGCATTTTTTCGGCGACTGTTAACGGCTGTTTTATTGTTTTCCTTCCCTGAGTCTTGCTCAAACTGTCTACAGAAATCCATTCCGTACTCTTGACCTCTTACAGCCCAACAACTCTAGATATGTTGAAGTTATCTCTACATTAATCTCTTTCCAGTTGTTCTCCATAATGTTTTTAACTTATTATCAGACCTTATAAGACTTGGGACATGTTGTTGAGAGCTATTTTTAATTCACTGAGCTTGTTAGCATCTCGAAAGAAGGTTATATTGAGCATTTGAAGGGCCGCTTGTCTAATTACCAAATGCTTCTTTAGCTTTGATTTTAGCCTAGCAACCGCCAGCTGGTGATCCAAAACTATATCAGTTCTTCTCTTTGTTCTTACATCTTCCATGGACCTTCTGAATATTTTTTGATGCAGATTTGGTCGACCTGGTTTGCTGTAGCGTGACCTGATGAAATACATTTAGAATTATGTATGTGTCTGTGGTAGAAGTAATGCCACCTATAACTTCGCTGTTGAAACCACACATATTTGCCGGTCGCTCACCGTTCTCAATGCTTTCTCCCAGTTCATTGTGCCTCAAACACCTGGTGTTTTCCACACCGACTTTGGCATTCAGGACGGTCAAATGTTGTCCTCTGGAATTCTTTATGATGGACTGTAGCTTCTTATAAAACTGGTCATTAAAATCTTCGTTGGTATCATTGGTGGGTGCGTAGCACTGGATTATGTTGATTGTAATCCATCCCTTCTTTGTTTAGAAGGATGTTTTGAAGATCCTGGATATATGAGATTCCCACTCTATAAGCATCTTTCGTGCTTCACTGAACAGCGTTAGTACAACTCTTTGTATGTGTGGAAAATTTTATTCTTCATGACCAGAATACAACAATGGGTCTCCTGAATTTATTCTCTTCTGTGTAGCTTATATTTAATGGGCTTTAGTTATTCTTAACACAGCCATGTTGTATTTTCTCATTTCTACTTCTATTTGAATGATCCTCCCGGTCTCCCAAACTGTTCAGACATTCTATGTACCTGTATCAATTTTTGCTCTAGTTTTCAAGCCTGTGATTCCCGAAGAATCTCGACCTTCACCATAAGGTGTCATAACTCTTCTGTGAAAAGACATTTCAACTCTCGGTACAGAGTTTGAGTAGTTTGAATGATTTTTCTGGCTAACATAGCAAGGTTCATTTTTGTGTGGTGGGTTTGCTAATCCCATGTCTAACCTTCCCGTTTTATCCGGGCTTGAGAACGGCGCTCGCCCAAACAGGTCTCTTGGTGGAGTGTTTGTAATCCACACTAATGGGTTATTATTTATAGTTTATCTTTTTTGTCATTAAAATTTAAGTATGTTCTTACAGAGTCGTTAACTAAGGTCTCCTTCACTTATTTAAAAACAACTATGAACTTCTAGGCTGGACAAAAATCTGACAAAGATTGGAAGTTATAAAAATTGTTAGATAAAATAGACCCGATTTCATAATCTTTTTATTTATTTATTTCCTCATTAAGTTGGTTTGAAGACACTATTCCTGAAAAGATACCAACTAAAAAGCAGTCAAGAAGGAATAAACAGTCGTTGAATACTTGTTCAAAACTTTTCTAAACCATAATTCCATGACTCAACGTATAATTGAACTCATTACTTTCTTCATCTCATAACTATCAAGTCACCATTAAATGTATATAATATTCCGTAAACTTAAATTTATACAGTTATTTAGTAGCAACTCTTTCATTCACTAAGTCTACTGTGAAGTAAATTAATTGAAAAGTAATATTGGCACCTCCATACTTCTATTTATATGAATTTAAATTAGTTACAAAGTTTTTGTTTTGTTTTTTTTCAGAAAACTTGATGTTGTTCATGATTAATATTATGAATAAGTGATTATTTTATTTGAATACATGTATTTACTGTTAGTATACAGGTGATTTGATAGTTGTTCAATGAAAAAGTTAAAATATTCCACTTTAAACTAAATGAAAGGAAGAAATATTAAAATGTAAATGTTATTTTAAAGAACAAGTGAATATACACTATATTAGTATTAGTGTTAATAAGATGTAAAGTTTGTGAAAATTATTTAATTTTATTATAGTTTACATCATGAACTGAACTTAGTTAGAACCAGTTAGTTTTCTGTAGTTAGTAACTTCGAGAGGTAATTCCTGAAGTTCTAGTGAGAAGTTGTAACTAGTCGAGTCGAACGAATCAGGTAAGAGTCGGTTGACTATCGATGAGAGGGAAAAATGGTTGCATAATGCATGTATTGGTTGAAGGTAGAAATATAAAACATTAGATGTCCACTTAGTAGTTTAAAATTGAATGCTGTCTGCGAAACTTGGAGAACCTCGTCTCAGTTAGGGTAAGCAGTGGTTGGACATACGTAACACGTAAGTCTAAAAGACCAACCAGACTATTTAAAAACAATTTATATGTTGTGGGAGAGTAAATATCGAAGAAAGAGAAACCCTTTGGAATAAATCGTGGATTATTATTATTATTTATATTTCAAGCACGAAAGAGTTTATATACAAACATACCGGGATGTATCAAACCATTGTACTAAAAATATTCCGCATTGTATCCTTTGTACTATTTAAATTTGTGTTAATTTATTTCTGTTATTTATTTAATCTGAAGAAGTGGCTGATACTAAGTTACAAAACATCAGGAATACAATTTTTCTATTCATTTGGGATATAACAAAAAATATATTTAGCGTCAATGTAAAGTAATAGTGAAATTGGAAAAGTGGTAAAAGTACTTGATGCGTAATAATTAAGGAATTATAAATCATTTTTAATGAGAGTCTGTTGAGGTTCAACTAGTTCCTCGTGTATTATGTCAATGGAATATATTCACTATTTATCCCCAAGGATCAAGCGAATATGATCCACTGACACAATAGATGAGGAACTAGTTGAACTTCAACAGACTCTCATTAAAAATGGTCATCCACCTAGATTCGTTGATAGCAACATAACACTTAGATACACGAATTATAAATCGTATAACACTAATTAATAGATCTTCTGGAAGCTTATAATAAGGAGAATATAGAAATTTCACAATAAAGTTATCTACTAATTATACAGTAAAAGATATATAGTTACTAATCCATAAATGAGTTATAAGAGTTATACTTCCTTCGATATTCACTCTGTCACAATTGTATATCATATTTATAGAAATAAAATTGAACAAAAATAAATATAATAGGTAGATTATTTTGTTTCTTTTAGAGAAAAAATGTTTACCAGGAGAACAATTTTCTCTTTTTTTTACTAACCATGTAAACAATATTTTATTTCTGTAAAACAAAAAAATGAAGTAAATAATTGTAACAGAACAGGAAGCAGGATACAAGAAAAATGTTTAAAATCCTTCTTTTTTAAAAAAAAAAATAAAAATAAAAAGACATAAGGTTTAATAAAAATGTAATAACAATCACGAATGGACACATGCACACGATATGTAAATCTAACAGGAATAGGAAATTACAAATACTAATACTAATACTAATATTAATAATAATAATAACAATAATAATAATAATAATAATAATTATTATTATTATTATTATTATTATTATTATTATAGTCACTATATATTTAGTTTTTTTATAATAAATAAAAATTCTGATACTCGAATGTAGGATTTATTTTATTTAAATGAATTAGTGTTATATTAATTTAAAATGGAGAATAATATGAATAATGTATTATTATTTTTTTTTTTTTGTATTCAAA